TTCACCAAATCAAATATTTTTCAAAAACTTCTCTTTATGGGAGGACAGTCGATGTTGAAATAAGAAGACATCACCGTGAGTGTTGTTAGGCCACGCATGATGTGGCATTAGACAAACAGGCGTTCAGTTTAACTTTCACGAGTAAATTGCTTGACGGATTTTGCAGCACACCCTCGGAAATAGCAAATTAAGAGTGGGAAGTCATTACAGCTATAATCATTATAGCTCAATTAGCGGGAGGAATAAATAAGCCAATGCGGTAAAGCTTTGGCCGGAATCCTGACACGGAACTAGAACCGTTCACGGATTTTGGAACAGAACACAGTAGGGAGGTACTTCCGATGAACCAAATAGCGCCGCTACAGTAGCTCCGCCAGTTTTTATTAGTCCTGAATGACATCCAGCATCCACTTCCGAAAGGTTCGAGTGTGTGTGACTGCAAGCAAGGTGGGAGTGAAGCAAATGCCTCGTGGAAAACTTGTGTTTTCCATCTATGAAAAGCTGTTCGCTCATCTCGGATTCCTCACCACCGTCCTCTACCTTTCCTAATAGCTTACTTCTAGACACTGTAGCCTTGCAAGAAAAAAGGTACTCGTGGCTGCGCGAGTTTTCCAGGTCACATAGTTTGATAGCAATCAACAGCTTCTTGTAGCGGTAAGGTATTGAAAAAAAGCAAGACTACAGAGAATAACTGCGACTATGGGAGGTGAAGTTTTGGAATGTACGAACGAGCCCGTCATTTCGACATGCACAGCAAGGTGGTCTTGCTTTGGTCGAGAGTCGACCGGAGGTTTCACCTCAACACCTGCGACAGCACTTGCCAGTACTCCGACTACAACCTATTGCTTTATGAATATTACCAGTCAGACGGTCCTGCTGGAAACAGTTCTACATCACTCATCAACTACGCACATCAAACCCCTCTCGCTAATTCATTCCTGTCTTTTACCCGCAAACCAAGGAAAATGACATACATAAGAAAGGTTACAATGGCAGAAGAAAGGATCAAAGTTGAAGTAGTCTGGATGTACAACGGGTCCACAACGTCGTGTCATCTTTGAAAGAGGCACTGGATCCCTAAGCGACTTGATTTTGCATTGGCTATGTTAAAGGCAGTTGGCACGATAAATCCCCAAGACGACTAGGATCAATACTCCTGGCAGGATAGAATTCCGCGACCCTGGGCAGGCGCTGCATAGCGGTTTCCCCGAGGAAGGTGCCCTTATAAGGGCCCTATCAAGCCACAACTTTACGTCCCAAACGCCCGCCACGCCCGCCCGCCCACAAATGGACGACCGTTCCTGACGCTCGTATTCATTCATTTGCTAAGCAAATTATGAAGCGAAGGGGTGGTATGAAGCGGCCGTGATGCTGCATGCATACATGGGTACACATATGCCGCCATATCTTGAATCTTAACTTATCTTATCTTCTTATCTTATCCGCGAGTGCGTGCGGCGGCGATTTGATTGCTCTCTGTTACTCAAGTCTCACAGGTATTTCTTCGGCATTTTTTGGTGTTATTCTCCTGCTATTCTCCTGCCCCTGACAGATCCTTGGCACTAGGTGTTCTGTGTTGCTACTCCTTTCGGTGTACTTTCCAGTACATTGCGGCCTTTCCCATTTATTTTGTCTTGCACTTGGAGTCGTCGCTAGTTCATTGATTCCTCATGCCACGTGGATCACAACGCAGATCTTCCGATCGAGATAAGGAGAAGGACCTCCCCCTATGGGCCTCAATGCTGTTGGATCAATTCGCTTCTTGTACAGACAGGATAGAAAAAGCGTTAATGTCGTCTATGAACAGACTTGTGGATAGGATTGACAAGGTTGAGGCTCGCCAAAATGAGGTCATCTCTCGCCTAGCTTCCCTAGAAGAGTGTATGACTCGTCTCCAGAGTGCAGCTACAATTGATTCCAAAGTGTTGTACTCCACTATTGTGAAGGCGAGAGCAGATGGCGAAAAGATGAGGGGAAGCTTAGGCGCATCACGTGGGTTGGGATAGGGGAGCAGGCCGACGAGGTAGCCACAAGAAAATTTGACATGGAAGCCTTAAGGGAAGTTGTGTATTCTTCAAGAGACGATCAGCTGATAGAGGAACTTTCGAAAGGAAACATCGTTGCCCGTCGGCACCCGGCTGAACGACCGAAGAACCACAATGGTCGGGATCGCATCATAAAAATTGAGTTACCCACGCAGGCTCTCAAGGACAGGTTACTCCAGCACATGAGGTCGGGCCGGCAAAGCTTGACTAAACGCTTCGTCCATTCGTACGCGCGAAGAGATTACACAATGGAGGAGCTGGATTTAGATCGTGCATTGCGCAGGGAAGCAGGACGAAGAAATGCGAGTTTGGGAAAATTGCAGTATGTGGTGCGTGACCTCAGAATTCATGAACTAAGGACTCCAAGGGATCTTCCTCGACGTTCTCTTCCTTCCCCACAGGAACAAGGGAGTCACTTCTGTGGACCGGCGTACCAATCGCACACATCGCTGATGACTCCCTCCGAAAATTTCAGGCTTTCACCATAGGGCCACGCCCCCCACTTCGGCATATCGGACCATTCCTTTCGGTTGAATACTATCGCAGATGATTTCATTCTTTTTAACGCGCGTTCTATAAACAATAAGCTACCTGACCTCCATCACTTGTTCTCGAAAAATCCTTCTGGCATATTCGTGACGGAGACATGGTGTAAACCACATAAGATAAATAATAGTGCGTTGTCAGCCGGTCATCCCTACTTTATATATCGTTGTGACAGGGAAGGGGATATGCCAGGTGGTGGAGTGGTAGCTGCCATTCGAGACAATATTCCTTCGTTTCTCCTATCCTCTCTTAATTTCTCCGCTTATCTCCAGTGTAACACTGTATAGATGTCCCTCATCAGCGGTGATTGTTCTCTGCTACCGTAGTCCCTCGTGTAAGGGCGGAAGATTTCAAAGAATTTCTTTCTTATGTTGAAGGCCTCTGCGAAAATCGTATGCCGCTTGTTTTAGTGGGGGATTTCAACCTCCTTGATATCTCGTGGTCTCGGCTATCTCACAAGCGGGGCACTAGGAAGTCTCAGTAAAAATAGTTCCTCTGTTTGTGAGCTTCGTGGAATCCCATAATTTCAAGCAACTGGTGCTAGAGCCCACCCATGATTATAACATTTTGGATCTTGTCCTTACGAATTGCCCCTCTCTTATTAGTAGCACGTCGGTTCGAGCACCTTTTTCAACATCAGACCACGCTACAGTTTCCTTCAATTGTCCACGAGTTGTCATCTACCTGAACAAAAACGAACCATTGACTTCGCTAGAGGGGACTATATATCTATCTGTAATCAACTCCTTGCAATAGAATGGCGTACTCCATGGAAACTCCACGGAAAGCGCTTGACTCCATGGAAAGCATTGATGATTGCTACTTCAGTTTTGTTGATTTTTGTCATTCTCTCATTTCCCGATTTATTCCACAAGCTTACACAAACATGAATGCACCAAGGCTTCCTCGTTACATAGAAGATCTTCAGGCTCGAGTTCAGCGACTATTCAAGCGTGGAAATCATCTGCATAGTCCACGTTATCTTTACATTACTCGCTTACTCAAAAAGAAAATAGCAAAACTTGAACTGAAGCACGAGGAGCGCATTGCATGCTCTAGGAATAAGAGAAGGTTTTGGAGTTACTGTAACGCTAGACTAAAAGAATCCGGTTTAATTAATGCCATCACTTCACCGTCTGGTGCAACACTTACAACCGATAGCGATAAAGCTGAAGTTTTTGCAGCCCATTTTGAAACATTCTATAAAAAGAAGAGTTCAGTAACAAATTGGAGTGGGAGTATACCGGCAAACAAACTCGATTGGGTGGATATTAATTATGAAAATGTTTTTCGAGTCCTCAGCAAGCTTCCGCTTCGATGCTCTACGTCACCGGATGGTTTACCATATATATTTCTCAAAAAAGCTGCAGAAGGGATCACTCCTGCTCTTACACTCCTCTTCAACAGGATACTCTTGAAAGGGACAGTACCGGAAATCTGGGGGTCTTGTTAGGCCGATATTCAAAAAAGGTAGTAAGAATGATTTCAAAAACTACAGGCCCGTATGTCTAACCTCTTCAGTTAGCAAGGTAATGGAACGGATTGTGTGTGAGCAATTAGGAAATTTCTTCTGTGTAAAAATCTTTTGTCGCCTTGCCAGCATGGTTTCCTCCCCAAAAGGTCTACGGCCTCAGCGCTTCTCTCTAGTGTCCCAGCTTGGCAGTACACCATTGATAGAAAAGAATCTGTATTCGCTGTCTACATAGATTTCTCCAAAGCCTTTGATTCCATTCCTTTATGTCACTTGTTTTCCAAATTTAAAAAGCTTTGGACTTACGGGATGTCTTTTCGATTTTTTGAAGGCGTTTCTTTCTGATAGGCATCAGAGGGTTGTGATTAACGGAACTTGCTCTAGATTATACCGAACGGAGAGTGGTGTTCCTCAAGGATCTTGTTTAGGTCCACTGATGTTTATTATGTACATTAATGATTTGCCAGGATGTATTCCATCAGGTGTGCAATGTTCCATGTATGCGGACGATGTCAAGGTGTACTGCACAGGGAACCTGTCCTAATGCAAGCTGCTATTGATGCCATAGCAGATTGGGCTAAAAAATGGGGACTTGCAGTTTCTCCGGAGAAAACGGTTGCCCTCCGACTGGGTTCCAACTGCCCCTCGTCTCCCAAATTTTCATTCGAGGGTGTTGAGCTAAAGGAACCGGATGCAATCAAGGACTTGGGCATTTTATATTCCAAGTCTTTATCTTTTAATGATTATATTACCAAAGCAGTGCATATGGCACAATGCAGGGCGAATTACATCTTAAGAGCATTCTCGTCGCGAAATATGAAAACTTTGTTTCAGCTTTTTGCTGCATATGTGCGCCCCACCCTTGAGTATTGTCCCATGTTATGGAGCCCTCATACTCGTCATATGGTTGAACTTATTGAGAGCGTTCAGTCCAAATTTACAGAGAGAATTTTCGCCATGTTTCACATTTTATATAAAGACAGGCTCAAATATCTTAGAGAAGACTCTCTTGAGATGAGAAGAAAGCTATACGACTACGACTTTGTTTACAAGCTTAGTGTTGGCTCTATAGATTTGGATTTCGACCTCTTGTTTACAAAATCTTCAACAATTGGCCGTACTAGGGGCACAACTTTAGGATAATGAGAGAGAAAACAAGATCAACTGAGTTTCGAAATTCTTTTACCCAAAGAGTTATTACTTTCTGGAACGATTTACCGGTTGATGTTGTTAACTCGAGCTCCACTAAGAACTTCAGGAGCAAAGTTAGGCGAATTATGATATCTCAGGGCTGGTTCTGAGGACAGAAACTAAACCATACTAAACTTAAACTGATCGAGAAGCGATTTCGCGGTGGATATGAATGTTTCAAAACTCTCTTTGTATCCTTATCTGAATTGATATTTTTCAGCTCATAGCTTGTGGTATTTGTATTTTGCCTGTTTAATGTACATCCTCATGCCACTGGATTTTTTCATCAATCTGCGGCAAGTGGAGTTGGATCTCAGCTAAGTCAGCAAAGTTGGCGGACCTACTAAGTTGGTATCCGGAGTTCCTACAAGAGCATCCATGGACTTGCAGTGTTGGCGGCCCACTGCCCTTCTGCGCTGACTACCTCTCCACTCATTGCTTGCAGCTATAGGTCTTGTATTACCATGAGTGTTTTTCACCTTATCGGAGTTTTTTTTCTCACATACTGTTATTTATATCGGCCATTGTAACTAGCTTGCCGGTATCGTAAAATCATATCTTCGGTAGCGGTGATTGGTAAGATGCCTACGGGAAACTCGTCCGAAATCGATTTACAAGTCACTGAGAACGGAGGCTTTTTCTTCGGATTTTGACCGTTTCACTCCGTTCTTTCGCCATTTCCCCACTATACAGCGCCCTACTAGCATTTAGGCTAAGTAGGAAACCATCGTGCCAGCTGCCTTCAAAGCGTACATCACGCTGGGGAACGGAACACACTATCAACACTAAGCACTGAGCTAGTTGCCTGCAGTACTCAAGCTACAGAGACGTAGTAAATGCTTCGAGAACTGTGGTGAAGATGGTGTCCCATCGAATCTTCTCAATTATTATCATTACTTGTCACCTGTCATGTTCCATATCGCTGCCTTCATAACTTGGCAGTGTGAAAGTCCCACCGCTTCGAAGAGCGATCACGACAGGAACGCCCATTATCATTCCCTGTCGGTCGCCACGCCTTTCCGCCACCCAAAACTCCCACCAGCACCCTATATCATTTGCTGGAATTGACCTTTTACAGTTGCTGCGACCCGACGACACCCCTCTTCTTAAGCATAAGCAACTGTTGGAGCTGACTTCCTACAGTTCCGAATTAGCCCATTGTACAGATGCCGTTCGATGCCGCAGTGCATGTGCCGCTTTGCCGACCCGGAAGTCGTGACAAACCCGTCGCGGCCTCCATGGAACTTATTCAATGAACTTGGAGATGAGCATGATTTTCGGTGAGCGGTTCCGGAATGCTGAAAAATGAAAGATAAGTATACAACACAGGGGCAAAGGGGGCAAAAGATAGGGGCGACGTGGGGCATCACGCGTAGTCGTAATGTGTACCATTGGTTGCACTGAGTATGGATTGTGTAAAAGGTGTTCATCATGGACATGCTACAAATAACCTGATTCTTGTTACTCATGAAGCACTCTCCATGGCATACATGGAAATAGTATACAGTGTTATTCGCGGACGATCTTGAGGCGTCGTGCCATGCGGGAGGGTATTGAGTTTGGCACGGCGCCATATCGTATCCCGATACTGTTGAAGTGGATGAACAACAACAATTGTTGAGAAACGGGCTTGCGCTGCGCCAAACTTAGCAAGCGCTGACATGCCCCGTTGTCTGCAGCGTGATAAAAAAGCGCGAGAATCCCCATATCACAAGAATGCTGAGTTGTGGGCAAAAGTCGGACCACGGGCGGGACTCGAACCCGCATCTTCTGCTTACCGGGCAGTTGCGTTACCACTTACGCTACCGGGGCCACTTTTGACCTCTCAGCTCAATGGCTATTTGTGCCATTGCCTTCGAGCACTCACACGTTCAACGTGATGAGCCGGTTAGCCGATATCGGCAGTGAACCGCAAGGCTGAAGGCTTTTTACAAGTTTCAAGCTGTTATTGTTTTGATAACTGCTGTTTAACGCCGCAGTGCGCGATACGAAAGTTATCACAAGAATGCTGAGTTGTGGGCAAAAGTCGGACCACGGGCGGGACTCGAACCCGCATCTTCTGCTTACCGGGCAGTTGCGTTACCACTTACGCTACCGGGGCCACTTTTGACCACTCAGCTCAATGGCTATTTGACCACTGGCTCAGCACGTTGGAACGTGTGAGCGCTCGAAGGCCATGGCACAAATACATTGAGCTGAGTGGTCGTGGTAAGTGGTAACGCAACTGCCCGGTAAGCAGAAGATGCGGGTTCGAGTCCCGCCCGTGGTCCGACTTTTGCCCACAACTCAGCATTCTTGTGATAACTTTCGTATCGCGCACTGCGGCGTAAAACAGCAGTTATCAAACAATAACAGTCTAGAACCCTATAGATGGCGGAATAATTGCACCACCCACAAGAGTTGCAACGGTTGGATGGCTATTGAGGAGGACGTCTTTCGGCAATGAGAAGGAAAATCTCAAAAAGATTGCTTACACGGCAAAAACCGGCTCTCGAACTTATCGTAGCTTGATGAGGGACTTCCCGAACACTGGTTATATTCACTGTAACCCTCAGGACTGAACATGACCAGAACCACTCTGAAAGAAAAAAGATTCACTACAGTTACTCTTCCATAACAATCACTTCTTGCAAACGACAAAACAATAGTCCTTGGAGCCTGTCTACCATTTGAAAGGATCAAAGATCAATATTGTTACCGTGAGTTCAACATGGAAATCGCGCGGCCAGTTTTTCACCACATTTTCACGCTTGTGGTGGGTGGGGCACGTAGTGTCACAAGTGAATCCCTTCATGGAAACCACTAATGAAGGCATAAGCGCTACATGGACCAGGAATCGCGAACTAGGAATGCTTGATAACCTTGAAGAAAAGAGAATCGTAAACACTTTAAACTGTTTGCAGGGTTCACGTCATCATTTCTGAATGTGCGAGCAGCGGGGGCTGATATACGCATAAAACCATTCATTCCCACCACCACCATTTATTCCCATCACCCATCATTCAGAATAAGTGGATTTCCTGAATGGATTCTGACGAGTTGTGCTGCTTCTTAGTATTTTGTTCATAGAGGCTCACTTCCCACGAGCACGTTC